GACGTATGAATGTGAGCTCAACAGAACTCCGAATACCAAGATCGTGCATGCTGTAAAAAGCACTGCAGTTCGGAAGACAGGAAATTAAAAGTTTCCGTTGCTTAAACCTCGATGTTCTGCATGCAACTTTCCATAACCAGACTGCGATATATGCAATTTCAAACTTATCAGTCTAGAAGCTTTTCGTTACAATGATGTAGTCAGTTTCAAACAGTTTCAACATAAACAGAGAAAAACAATGAAATAAGATAGTTAGCTGCATTATGCTTCTTTCAACTTTACTTAAAATGATAACTATGAAGAAAGAAAATCTTACTCCCAGATGGAATACGCCAACGGTGTCGTCCAGCATACGAACCTTGATGCACATCAGTTTCCGCCTCTTCGCATCCATCCGTGGAGTTGGTGGTGCTCCGACGCCCTGAGGAATCATCGCTGAACTTTCGGCGGAATGTATACTCATGCGCTAAGTTGCATTTGATACACAGATACCAAACATATAACCACCGCTTACAGCCTGAAACTGAAGCAGTTTATGAAATCTAACCGATATTCACAAGGAATTCCTATCAGAGAGCTGCAAACACAAAATATGGAGGAACTTACCAGCTACGTCTACCAGCTTTCCTGCTTATCTCGAAGACAAACACGAGGCTTGCTTGCTCACGACCATTCACAGCATTCGAACATGCTGTATCCTGAATAATAGCTGCCTGCTAATCAATAACTAACTGCGGGTCTTAAGTGCTCGCATAAAATGGCTTTTCGTCTATGATTGTTCGCAGTAGGTTTTGTCAGGAACTCATCATTGGATATAATCTATTAAAGCAATCCGCTATCTATAAACTGAACCCACAGGGATCCATAAAAAGTTTCACTGAGGCACTAACAGTAGTTATCAGTTGGCAAGAAAGCAAACATTTGCAAAATGAACTACGCTGCAGATAGTTTTATTTTTTAAAGTTCCGAATTACTTTCGAACGTAGTTACTCCTTATCCATTTATTTTGCTTTTAGTTCCCTATCTCTGAGATTGCTTCCACCGTACCTACAGAAACTTATAAAATCAGCCTTATAATGCTTGAAGCAACCTAATCTTTCTAACTTGCACACTGCTGCAGCATGGTGAATATCATTTTGTTGAGCAGTAACATATCGAATGATCGAACAGCCTTCGATTCAGTCGCACCTTATATAACGACTGTTCTGTAACATGGAATTTTATCCCAATGCCACTGCTCTGGCGTTCAGTTAAATCGCTACCTTACGCTATTCATTTTGTGCGACACTTCCGCAATTTCTGTACAACTCTATAAATGAGAAAACGTTATATGCCACTGTCGATAATGCATGACATATATGTAAACAAAATGATGTAAAATTATCGTCATTTTCTTTTTCCCTGGCCGCTTCTCATTTAGGGTCGTGGAGACAGACGCGTCAGACAGTGCTTCCCACCATCCCGATATTATGCACGAGTTTGAGCATCGACAAAAGATAAGTGAAGTCTGGAACAGACTCCTTCCATATGTTTGCACCAGGTAAATCTTGGCCGTCCTCTGGGCCTTGTGCTGTTTCGTAATAACCTGGAGGCATTCGCAATAACTGCACAAGCCATTGCAGGTGTGGCTTCTCATTCTGAAGAAGCAGCGACTGTAAACCAAGACTCTCGCGTATGCTTGTATTCGGGACTAAATTGAGACTCTTAAGGCTAGAGACTCGATATTTAAGTCGGATTCGAAGTCATGATCCACGACTCATGACCGTATGCAAGCATGGAGATAAAGATCGACATGAAAACCGTGAGCTTTGTTTTCAGACTGAGCTCTGGATCGTTGGAATTACACAATGGACTAGGCTAGTTCATGCAGAACGCTACTGAATAATTCAGTTCGCCGATCGATCTCTTCCTCAAAATTTTCCATCACTAGTAAATACGACTCCGAAGTACTTGAACTTGTCCACCTGCTCCACTGCCTTTCCGAGAATCTGAAAAAAGCAACAGGGAGGAGAACAAGAAAGCACTAAGCTTTTCGTTTTAGGTATACTTACTTGCATCCAGTCACGTCGCACCCGGCTGCGAACCCTTCTAGGGAGTATTGTAGATCAATTTCAAAAGATGCCAATGAAACAAGATCGTCTGCGAACAGCAACCTTTTCCTTTTCACATTTCCTACAACCATAAACTCATTGTCTTGGCCGCTACTGAATATTCTATCCATGTACAACACAAACAGCATAGGGTGCAGGACGCAGCCTTGGCGGAGACCGGTGCGAACGTTGAACGGTTTCGACTTAACGCCATTAATTCTGACGCAGCACCAGCTATCAGAATACAGTGATTGAATTTCCCCCAGCAGCTGATTTTCTATCCTGCATGCTCAAAGGCATGACCGCAGACTTTCGCATGGGATCCGGTCATAGGCTTTTTCTAGGTGGACAAACCGGACGGGCGTATTCCTACGATTTATCAACAATCTGGCGCAGGGCAAATATATGGCCAGAGGTGCTTCGACCGGGCCGGAATCCAAACTGCTCTTCTCAGATTTTGTCAGTTACTCTGCAACAGCTCCTTTCTAGCACTTTGGCGTAGACTTCATCTGGGAGGCTCAATAATTTAATGTCCCCATGATGGGAGCACTCCCTGCGGTCTCCCTTCTTGAATAAGGGTAAAATAACTCCCGATCTCCAGTCTCCCCGTGTCTTCCCCATAGTCATCGCAGTTTGGCAGACACGTGTGAACCATTACATGCCTTGTTCGCCTAATGTCTTGATCGTTTCAGGGCGGATTTTGTCAAATCCAGCAGCTTTTCCATTTTTAAGCACTGCAACCAGATCTTCGTACGGTACTCCATTTCTTACAGAGCAGCGTGCAAACAACAAGGTGGTGATCAGTTGATAGCTCTGCGCCTCTTTTAACACGAACATCCATTAC